TTGCTTAGCGCCCTGGCATTAAGTTTCAATTGAAGAAACCTATTACCCATCAACTTTTTCAGATCATCCTGATCTTTCACCCCAAGCCTTTTCTTCTTTGTCTTTATATTTGCATCAATCACACCTTGCTTCTTCATGATTGCTTTACATGCAGCCAAAACATCTTCCACTGACATATCATCCTCATAGGCCCCTGAAATTAGCTGGTCATCAAGCCCTCCCAACTCTGTTGCAAAACTTTTCTTTGCAGTATATAATGCCAAAATTTCCTTAATTGCAATATTTGCAATATTCTTTGATTGTCATGCCAAGGGCTTGGTCTGTGCAGCCACTTGCTGCTTCCATTCATTTTCAAGCAAAGAAATTTCAAACCCAAGTTCATTGAGAATTTCTTCAGCCTCAATTTTTCTTTCCAAGCAAGTCAACCATTTGCGTTGAAGCCATTTACCCATCATATTGAAAGACTTTTCATCCAGATGCTTGACCTGAGTATCAATGGTAAACAGCCGATGATAGAACTATTTGGCTCAATTATCAGATTATCTTCACATATATATGAGATGGACACTTACCCCTGCCACACGCATTGAAGGGATTAATAACTTGATAGCACTCCAGAAACATTCACAACCCTCACCATCTGAGAGGCCAAACCCTTCACATTTACGAGGATGATAAACAAGTTGGCAGGGCCACTGGTGACCATATGCATGGAAAACCGCAAGTGCAACAAGGATTCTTGCCATGAATTCCTCCAGAAACCCCCAGATTTGGCAACTTCTCTCCAACTGGCATCCAATGTCATACAAAATTCCAACTGTCATTGATAAAGGCAAATTCATAAATAGCATTTTTATCAATACCAGAGCATAGTATTGGCGTTCTCCAGCAGTAGTCATGTTTACTAGCTAGAGAACATGGTCATGATGACACAGCATGGCCATAAGACCTGTATCTGCAAAGAACTGTGTGCTGGCTTTAGTTCTTCTCTCATCTTCTGCAATAAAGGAGGCCAGGCATCCCTCCAAAGCTGAGACAGGGACCTTCATGCCAGGTTCATATGAGTCTTCAGCCGGTTGTCCATCAGATGGTACATTAGCTTTTTCTTTTCCTTTTGACTTCTCTGGTCGAACTGTCTCAACTAAAGCCTTCATCTCCATTACATATTTCTCAGGCACAAATACTGTATCAGGATGCAGATTTTCAGGTCCCTTTGCCCCACCTTTTGCAGGGTTTCTTCTCTTGTGAGTAAAACAAGCATCAATGCATACAATGATATCAGCCCTTGAAATGTACCAGTCATTAGAACATATTATTGACCAATTACAAAACCTCAATTACATAAAATTTGGGTCATGTGGATTATCCCCACCAAAACAGAGAGGGCACCGTTTCCGCAAGTATTCACTTGGACGCTGAAGATCTGATTCACCATTTGTAGTATTCTTACTCTCATGAGACTCATCAGAGTCATCACTAGCCTCATCTGCCACTGAAGTAGGACTAGATGAAGGGGGAGGTTCATAGTTTTGGTTTCCCTCTATATCATCTGATTCAAGTGAAGACCCAGCCTCTGCAAGGTATTTTAGAGAGCCCTCATTTATAACCCCAGAGATCAAATGTTCTTTCTGGGCAATGAGATTGCCATACCACTGTAGTGCATTTCCAAAGCGACGTCTTATGGCATCTCTACTCTCAAGCTTATATGTACGAGAACTCAGAAATGCCTCAAGTGAGTCACACCATGCAGTAGTGTTTGGAGGTGAACGAACAAACAGCTCATTAACAAAGTCCAGCATATTCAAATCCACAGCTAATGTTGGTCAAAGGCAGTACTTATCAGTCCCCCACAGAATCCTGCAGGACTCACAGGATTCCTGAGGATTCCTGCAGGACTACACCATAATTTTGGCAAATTTGAGTTGTAAAAGAAAAATTCTGTCAAGTCCTCAGGATTCCTGAGGACTACATGACATTTAACCATGTGTGACATGTTTAAACACTTCCTCTAACTTCCTTAATGAACTTAACTCTATTTCCATCCTTAAAGCATTCAGATATCAATACATAGTAGAATTTTATTCTATTTTAAATGACATGAAAATTACTTTACAAGTATACTAAAGGGAGGGGGGAAGGAGGGACAGACAGGAAGGGGGGGACAGACAGGGTGGGAAAGAG